TGAAACGCATCCTGTACCTGTTAGCCCACCCCTGTAATCTATCCCGGCCTGCCTGCAGTCTTTCCCTCCCTACTAGTGTGCTCACCTCACCCCAAATTTTGGTATCATCAGGGAATTTAAACAGGTTGCTTTTCACCCTGTCATCCAAATCACTGATAAAGAAATTGAACAGCGCGGGCCCAAGGACCGAGCCCTGGGTGACTCCGCTGCCCCCTTCCACCCAGGTCGAATATGACCCGTCCACCACCACCCTCTGAGTGCGACCCTTCAGCCAATCTGCAATCCATCTGACTGTGTAGGCATCAGTGCCACAGTCGCCTAGTTTTTTAATGAGGATGGGGTGGGAGATGGTGTCAAAGGCCCTCCTGAAGTCCAGAAAGACTACGTCCATGGTGACACCTGCATCCAATACTTTTGTGACCTGATTGTAAAAGGCAATCAGGTTGGTCTGACATGACCTGCCCCTAATGAAACCGTGCTGGTTGCCCTTGAGCATCATCCCTGAAGCCGGCCCATCGCAGATGTGCTCCTTGATGATCTTCTCGAAGAGCTTCCCTAGGATTGAGGTAAGACTGACGGGCCTATAGTTGCCCGGGTCCTCCCTCCTCCCTTTTTTAAAGATGGGGACCACGTTGGCCATCTTCCAATTACCTGGCCCGAGCACCACGAGCGCGTGTAAAGCCGTGCCAAGGGCCCTGCAATAACCCCTGCTAGCTCCCTCAACACCCTGGGGTGAAGAGCATCTGGACCCACTGATTTGAACACATCCAGCCCCTCCAGAAGCTCTCTAACCCAGTCCTCCCCAACCTGAGGTCTGAAGGCGTTCCCCTCGAGTCCGTCTGGCATCACAGCAGGGAAGTCCCCGTCCCTGCCCAAGAAAACGGAGGTGAAGAATTGGTTAAAGAGTTCTGCTTTCTCCTCTGGCGCAACCACCAGCTTGCCCAGCATATCTTGCAGGGGCCCCACGTTTCCCAGTGCCTTCTTCATCCTCCCTATATATTTGAAAAAGTAACTTTTTATTATCTTTGATCTTGGATGCTAGCCCTAGCTCCATGTCTGCCTTAGCTTTCCTGACAGCCCCCCTACAGGCCTGAGCAGAGGAGGTATACTCCTCTTTGGAGACAGCACCCCCCTTCCACTGGTTGTATGCTGCCTTTTTGGCAATCGGGCGTTCCCGGATGCCCTTGGTGAGCCAGGGGGGCTTTTGGGCACTCTTGCCCTTCCTTCCTTCTGGCTATTTGCTAAATAATCATCTTGGACCTTTTTTCCTTGTGCACAGAAAGATGGGACCTTTTTTCCTCTCCTTCCCTGAAGTTACAGTTCCTGGCAGTGCTTCAGAGTGAGCAATTGCTCAGAAGGGCTCTGAGCTCTGCCATTTGTTCCCCCAGCAGGACCTGCATCCCAGCATTTTCCTGGGTTTTAAAAGAAAAGGACAGCTTAGTTTGAGCAAAAGAAGGAACATGTTATGCAGGGGCCTGAGCCAGATCTCTGTTCTTCCTTTGTAACCAGAGGCTGCATCTGAAGGGAAATCCCTCTGACTGCAAAAGGAAGAGCCTATGCACAAGTTCAGCTCCATTTAAGTCTGTGTTTGGGGCCTGGTTATGCACCTAGATTTTACCACTTTAACTATGCTGTTTGGGCTGAAGCAGTCCAACCCTAATAGTGTGGACACACTAGGGGTATAAGCTTAGCTATACTGGTATTAAATGCCTTCAACACTTGTATACCTATGGAATAGTAAGAGCATCCTCCAGTCCTCATCCCCTGCAGAAGCCACGTTAATAGGGTGCGAAGCTGGATATTTGCCCTCTAGTGGTGCATGTGGCCCTGTATGTATATACCTCTGCACTGAGGAAGTGAACTTTGCTCTGGGGGTTGCATTTTGCACTTTGCAGCCCTTACTTCGGCAAAATTTCCACTAAAGCCATTAAGTGCTTTGACTGCACAAGAACTGCAGAGTCAGGCCTCCTGTTCCCTCAGCCTTCTGCCTGCACTGCAGTGCGACCAGAATTCCCCATTTATCTCATTCCTGCTTTAATCGCCTGCGTTGGCAGGGGCGGCATTCCCCCCTCCTTCCCCCCCAGCCAAGAGGGCTCTCCCTGCCCCGGGGGACCACTCAGGCAAACTCCCCGAGATCCCACTGCCACCACGTTAGGACTGCAGATCAGGCACTTAGCAGCCTTCCGTGCTTCAATAATTCCCAAACAGCTTAAGTTTTAGTAATAAAATGCTGCAGGCAATTAGTCCACAATATGGATTAGGCCCCTTTAGCCATTTAAGAACGAACTGAATAAAATGCAAATGGCTGAATAATTTTATCATTTGCAAATTGGCTACGGTGCCCCTGAAACAGCTTGTTTTATGGTCATTGGACCAGAGCTAGAAATGGGCCCAAGCCAGATCCCTTTGGGTGGTGGAATTGGGACCTGGAATGGAGTTGCATAGGCATCTGCTGTGTCTCTACTGGAGTCTCGCTACATCCCTTCAACTCCAGCTTTGTCTCTGTGTGTGTGTAGCCTTTGACAACATTTCAAAAAAAAAAAAAAGAAAAAGTGTTGAGTGCTACCCTTCAAAGTTGTTTTTCAACTACTTTTCCAAGGGTGTAAATAGCTACCTGAAAGTCAGGGATGTAGGGAGAATCAGGGCATTCGTCTCCTGACAGATCTGCACTGTGCCTACCAATAGTGCACCAATATTGTAATACAGATGTTTGCAAAGTGTTAACAGTTCCCTTCCCACGGAGACATGGTGCTACCGGGTAAACAATCTCTTGGGTCAGGACAAAAAAATCAGCCATGATGACCAAAGTCGCACAGAAGCGGCACTGTGGAAAGATGTGATCCTTTATTGAAAGGCATGCTGTTATCCTCTTAGTACATTTTGTAGAAAACCAGCTGACTTTAGTTGGGCATTTGTCTTTGCAGATCTTGCTGTATCCATGCAACTCTGACGACCTCTGTCCCTCCTGCTCTTCTCAGAGGGTGTTTTCCCCCCTTGACCCTCTGCATTTTTATCCATTTCCCTTTTCTGAGTGTAGAGTAAAACAACGAGCTTAAGATGAAACTCTTCAGAAATGACCGCTGATTTTGTATGCCGCGGCTTTTTTGTTGGTGCCGAGAACCCAAGCTGGCAATGAAAAGGGGTGTGGAGCTAAAGGTGTGCTGTGGACCAAATGAAGAACCCAGAGCCATGCACCCTACATGGAAACACATGCCCAAGTTGCAACAGTCTGTCGATCCTGGATCAGCCTCGTCAGCCATCTTCGGACCACAGATAAGACAGTCTTGGGAGACAGTCCTCCTTGCCTGCGAGGGATTGCCAAAGAAGGGGAGCTCAGGGTGCTCAAAATCTCTGAAGGTCCCTGGGAGCCTCCAGGTTCTTGGCATTTCCATATTTCAGCTGGGTTCTCCAAGTAACAGGCTGCTTTAGGAAGTGTGACTGCCTTTTAATGAGAAATGGTTTTAAAGTAATGCAGAATGGTCTGACCTAAAATGTTTTGTTGAAGCTTGGTCTATTTAGAGCTAAAATGAAATATTTTTGGTTTCATGGCTCCAAAATTTTGCATGGTGCATGAAGCCAAATACCTCCCTGTTGGTAAGTGAGCACAATTTCTATTCTCTTTATTAGAAGTTGCACTCCCTTATGCCAAAGCAGGATGTGATGGGCCATCCATCACACACTTTTTCCAACCCCTGTAACACCACAAGCAGAGGGGATGTGGTACTGTGGAAAGTTTATACCTCCCCCTTATTTTGGAGGAACGGCAGGCATTTCTTCACTTAATAATTCACGGAGGTGGCCATGTGTTGGTTTTTTTGCTGTAGAACAAAAACAGGTATAAAAACATCATCTTCCTGTCAATAGATGACTTGATGACAGGCTGAAACACTTTCGTGTTGTGATGAGAGGTGAAATGTCACTGAAATGTCATTGCCTGAGATGCAAGGAGGCTTTCGTGTCCCAAAATGATTTCCAGGAAGATAAGATTGAACGTAGCGCCACCCTGGTAAATGAGCGAGACTTTTAAATGCCTCGCTGAAACGCAAAGAACACTTCATCATATCAAGGAGATATTTTAAAAGCTGCCTGAAAATGCATCCAGAAGGAAGATGTCTCCCTCGAGACTTGTCAGGTCAGACACTGTGACAGATTAAAGCAAAGTTGTAATCTTAACACTGCGTTCTATGGTTTTGGTGGGTAAGGCAGACCCCCTTGCAGATGCTAGGAGAAAAGCAGAGGAAGAATAAAAAACAGCCTCCCCTCCACAGCCCCACATCTTCCCTATAGACTCACACAGGGTGGGAAAGAGAGGGAGGATGGATCCCGAGACTGAATGTGTCCCTGGCATTACTGTGCTTGTTCCTGCGGAGTTGCGCTAAGTGTGAATACAGCCCATTGTACAGACTGGAGTGAGATATGGGCACGCAAATGTGAGATGGTGTGCTGTTGTGATGCTTTTAAGAGTTGTTTGGGTGACAACTAATAAACTCACAGCTAGAGAGTGGGAGAATGGCCATGTGATTTTGGAACTGGGTGAACCGTGTCTGGGATGGTCTTAAATTTGACTTGGAACTAGGAGTTTAGGGTCAAACCCAGCAGCCACCGCCCTTGTCTCTCCAGAGGCCTCCTTGACAGCGAAGCCTGTTGTGCCTGGTTTTCTGCTGGCAGACACAGAGTGAGCCAATGGGGCTTTGCCTGGCTGTGACTTTTTGGGACCATATCCTGCAGTTACTTGGCATCCTGTTGTAACATTATTGGTGCTGGAGGGTGTATTACTCTCATGCTCCAGGAAGCAGTCTGTCCTAGAATGATTTTCCCATGCCAAATTCCTGTATCTACGGATATGTTATCATCACCCCTCCTCTAGCATATATAAAAGTGTTGACCAAGTGTCATAGTTGCCTAGGCATTCGTTTACCATATGCCAAAGGCACACTGCCTTGTCTACACTAGACTTTGAATATGTGCCAGTTCCTGGATGTTAACAACACACCCTAAATCCTGGTGTGTGTGTGTGTGCGCGTGTGTACACCAGTGCTCCTGGTGTGTGCTGCTGCTCTGACAGTAGTGGGGTAGTGCAGTGCACTGGGGGTGTTATATGCTGTGTGGCTGCATGTGTCACTGGTGCCCTGATGCTAGTTCTGTTTGCATGTGTACGATGGAGCATATGCACGCTCTGCATTGTTGCTTTATGGCAGGGTACAGTCACACCAGGTGTGTAGAGGCAGATATAGATAGGTGCTTCCGGTGCTGCCTCCTCTCAGTTATGTTTCTCTCTTTGGGTTGCTCGATTCTATGCATTCACCCGCCAAGTGCCTGGTTGCTTTGGCTGTGTCTTTGGCTTGTGTGTATGCGTGCATGCGCACCTTGTCTCGGCATGTAGGAGTCTCCGTGTGTTGCTCTTGCTGGGGTTGTGTGTTGTGGCTGCGTGAAGGCTGTGCTGCTGGCTCTTTCCTAGTGTGTGTGGTTTCAGCACATAGTCTTCCTGTATCACTCTTGCTGGAGTTGTGTGTAGGTGGTGTTGCTAGCTCTCTGCTTGTGTGTGTGTGTGTGTGTGTAGGTGGTGTTGCTAGCTCTCTACTAGTGTGTGTGTGTGTCACTCTCCTAGAGTGTCTCCCTTAATGTGTGTGTGTGTATGTATCTCCCCTAGCGTGTGCGTGTGTGGCCGTGGCCCGGTTAAGCGGCGCGGCCCCGCCGGCGTTGCCCGTCGAGGCGGGGCGGGTTGCGGCGGCGG